AAGCTCTCCCCCATTCAATACAGCACTTCTATGTAGTTCATGGTGAAAAACAGGGACTCATAAAAAAATACTCCTAAATAAAAAAACGGTAAATTTACTAGAATTACATCTCCTCGTTTTTCGTGTCCAATTTAACTAAAAATAAATTTTTTACTGTTTAAATTATATTATTTTGTGGTGTCTCCTCGATTTGCTTGACCAGCCAACCCCACCCTCTTCTCCTTATATCAATACCCCTTACCACAGCTAAACAACCCGGCACCCTAATCTGCAATCGGAGAATCTCCGATTGGGAGAGAACCATACCGAAATCCACCCAAAAGATAATCTTTATCCTTTCTCGTGGCGTATTCAGACACTGGAAAGCGTCCTGCTTTCACCAACCGGAAAGGTAGAGAAAAGGGGGTTCTTGTTCAGATCTCGTTCTGTGTTTGCTCTTTTCTTGCTTCAATGGCGGATTCTAGGAAGTACATTTCGAGGGCTGATCTTCAAAACCACAATAAACCAGGAGATCTTTGGATCTCTATACAGGGGAAGATCTATGATGTCACGAGGTGGGCTGATGATCACCCTGGAGGAGCGCCTCCGTTGCTGAATCTAGCCGGCCAGGACGTTACTGACGCCTTCGTGGCCTTTCATCCGGGCTCGGCCTGGCAATATCTGGACAAGTTCTCTACTGGGTACTATCTCGAGGGTTACTCTGTTTCTGAGGTGTCCAAGGATTATAGGAGACTTGTCTCCGAGTTTTCAAAGATGGGTCTTTTTGAAAAGAAAGGGTACGGTGGCTTCATTTCGCTTTGCTTCGTCGCGTTGTTGTTTGCAGTGAGTGTTTGGGGCGTTTTGTGCTCGGAGAGTGCATGGGTGCATCTGGGTTGTGGTGGATTAATGGGGTTCTTGTGGATACAGAGTGGGTGGATTGGGCATGATTCTGGGCATTACCAGTTCATGGTGAGCCCTAGGTTCACTCGATTTATTCAGATCCTTACTGGGAATTGCCTTGCTGGGATCAGTATTGCATGGTGGAAATGGAACCACAATGCCCATCATATTGCATGCAACAGTCTAGATTTTGATCCAGATCTTCAACACATGCCATTCTTTGCGGTATCTTCCAAATTGTTCAATTCAATTACCTCTTACTTTTATGATAGGAAGATGAATTTTGATTCTGTTGCAAGGTTCTTGGTTAGCTACCAGCATTGGACATTTTATCCTGTAATGTGCTTTGCTAGGATTAATCTGTTTTCACAATCCTTCATTCTGTTGTTATCTAAGAGAAAAGTGCCAAATAGGGGTCAGGAGATTTTGGGGCTTCTTTTGTTTTGGACTTGGTATCCATTGCTTGTTTCTTGCCTTCCCAACTGGGGTGAAAGAATAATGTTTGTGGTTGCAAGCTTTGTGGTGACTGGAATTCAACATATTCAATTCTGCTTGAATCATTTCTCATCAAGTGTTTATGTTGGCCCACCTAGCAGCAACGACTGGTTTGAGAAGCAGACTATTGGATCACTTGACATATCGTGCTCCTCTTGGATGGATTGGTTCCATGGTGGCTTGCAGTTTCAAATTGAGCACCATCTGTTTCCAAAGTTGCCTCGATGCCATCTGAGGAAAATCTCTCCATTAGTTAAGGAACTATGCAAGAAGCATAATTTGCCATACAGCAGTGCATCATTTTGGAAGGCCAATGAAATGACGATTGGAACTCTCAGGGCTGCAGCCTTGCAGGCTCGTGATCTCACCAATCCAGTTCCTAAAAATTTAGTGTGGGAAGCAGTTAACACCCATGGGTGAGAGAATGCACATTCTGAAGCTTGCCTACAATGAACCGGGGCATAATATCCGCTGATGATAATTTTTTTTTATTGCTTGGAGGCTTCATTTTATTGTTTGAAATGTATGTTTTTACTGATCAGCTCATTTTCTCCTTCGTTGATTAAGCTATAAACCATTCATGCTGATTCCTTGCAGGTTAAGGAATTAGTTGGATGTTAAGTTTTGTGTTTACTCTTATGAGACTCTGCTTCCTCTATAATTTGATATGATTTAAACCCACTGGACGTAACATTTGATAGTTTGGCAATGCTGTAGTTTTAATATTACATAGAATTGTAAGTTTCTAATTTTACATGTTATTAAATAAGTAGATATAAGTGGATATTTGGAATAAGAATTAATTATATAGCTATGCATCCTATAGCATATAATGATATTGTAACCATAACATTTCCATTTGATAGTTTTGGTTCTCATTCAAATGCTCTTTCCTATTGGATTTCTGCTGCATTTTGTCGGTGTATGAATTAGTTGTTCAAAAGCAGCAGATAATGAATGGTAGATAATCCATATCCAACAATTAATTTAAAAAGAATCAATATAATGAAAAATGTTTATCAGTTATATTTCTAAAAAAATTAGAAGAAATAGCTTATTTTCGTTTTTGTTTTAATATTTTATTGAAATAACGTAATTTTTACAATTCTTATAGCTAAACACAATCTTGAATATGGACAATTTCTATCTTTAAATTATCAGAAAAAAATCTTGATTTTCAAAAAAAAAAAAAAAAAACCTTCCAGGCTCCAGCACGCCCCGAAAATTTCGGGAAAGGGAGAAATCAAATATAACTGCTTTCTTAGTTTCATTTATTTTCTCGCCTTCTGATTTTCTCTTCAATCCAATCCCTGCATTTATGCCGAAAAAGCAAAACCATGCACCAGAAGACCGCTAAATCCTCTCCTGCTTGCGCTGCGTGTAAATACCACCGTAGGAAATGCGAACCCAATTGTCCTCTGGCTCCCTATTTCCCCGCCCACCTCCACAACGATTTCCTCCACGCCCACCGGTTGTTCGGCGTCAGCAACATCGTCAAGATGACGGCTAACCTCCAGCCCCACCAAAAGAATATTGCGATGACTTCGATCATTTATCAGGCCAATGTTCGTGCCATTGACCCTGTTGGAGGGTGTTACAGAATCATCTGCGACTTGCAGCGCCAGATTGATTTTGCTGCAGCCCAGCTCCAGATGGTCCGCACCCAGATTGCGTTTTCCAAAACCCAGCTCGCCAACCAGATGAATCCAGCGGACGGGGCTAACAGTGCACCGCAGTGGATTACCATTGACGGTTATGATGACGATTTTGAACTCTACGACGCCGGTCTGCGGGCACTAGTGCCGACCGTGGAGTGTCAGCAGCAGGGGGTTCATCATTTCCAGGAACCATTACGAGAGCAGGAACAAAAGGGGGTCGTTCCCAAGGCTGAACAAGTCTATGAGGTGTTCGATAGTCGGACTGTTAAGGCTGAGGCGGATGAATCTCCATCTTTTTCTTCACAGTTGCGTGAGAAAAGGGGTTTTGCAGACGTAACCCAGATTGTTGGTGGTTTCCATGAGAGGGAGGTAGGATCGATTCCATGCAGGTAATTCATTTCTTTCAATTCATTTGGTGTGGGGTTATTCATTTTTGCATCTTTGGCTATGAGTAGTTAATGCAGAACGTTGAAATGGAGAAATCAACGGAGACCATGAAGGTAATGACTAGGTAAAGAATTTTGTAGCATGTGAGGTTAATTACATTCCAATTCAAGGGAAAGATCCCAAGACTTTTGTAGCAGATGAAGTTCAATTACTCCCCACCATTAAATTTAGTTCAATTTCTTTTATTGTGGCGATTTTCACATTTTTATGGGATGCTAATTTGCTTTAAGTTGAAAATATCAACGTGCAATTTGCATATTTGGCTCTTCCCAGAACAGTACTAAAACTAGCCATATATGTACTAAAAGTTGTGATTTGCATCATCATTCTACCATGCAGGAATTCACAAACAATAGGACCATTGTCATTGCTTCACAATTGTTTCTTCTTCCACTATACCACTGCTTATGTAGATATGTATGGTTCTGTTTCAGCAACAAAATTGCGTCTTCAAAGAAGATGTCTAGCCAGTCCAGCAGGAGCAAGAGATTGACCTGAAAGATGCTGCTTTACTTTTCATTCTCAGAGATGGAGCAGAGTAAGAAAATTTTACAAGTAGTAACTTGTTTGGGTTTGTATGTCTATAGTACAGAGATTAGAAGGTGGAGCAAATTTGCAGTAAGGGACAAGGATGATGTATGACAGAGCAGTTTATTCATATTCCTAGTACCATTATTATACCATTTACAGATGCTGTATTTTCTGTTGGACACAAACATCAAACACAAAGATCAAGTAGAAAGGCATCCATGGCTTACACAACTGGTAAAGAAAAACAAGGAGGAATAATTGGTGTCCCTTTTCTCCCCTTTTTTGGGTTTAGAAGCTTAGAATGAAGAATCTGTCTTGCTGAAGATTTTAGGGAATTAGAAAATGCTCTTTGTTTTCATTTCTCATTTGATTAAAGGTTTAAACATTAAATTTATAATATTCAAATCGGATTACTATACATATAGAGGAAGGATCAAACTTTTAATTATCAAGATAATAAAGAAAGTTATGTTTTTTTTCATTACTTCCTTTCCCTCTGTTTTCTAGAACAATAATTGTTTCTTTTTACTCCTTACTGTTTTGGTGGTTGTGATCAAGTCCAAGAATGTGAAAAAGTCTGACATAATTCCAATTGCCCCTTTCTTGGCAGACCAAATTCACGTGCTGTCGAATTTAACTCGCCCATTTCCCATCATGGGATGCAGTTGAAAACTTTTTTTTTTTTTTAAACAGTGTGAAATTTTTTTTTTTTTTGGAAAAGGGGAATGGGTACTCAGGATTTGATACCAAGTTCTTGTAGTCCTACGCACGTCCCTTGCAAGAGTGGTCCCTTGCAAGAGTGGTAATTTGGCCACCGAGTGCGGAACTATTTTTTCTTTTTAATCGCCCTACTTCCAAAACAGAAATAATAATAATAATTTTAAAACTCTTTCTTTTTGGTCCAAAATTTTAATACATAAAACATGAAAACAATATCAATATCTAACAATTGCTGAGATAATGTATGTTATTCTCAATCATTTATTTAGTATTTTCAACTTACTCTTCTAAATTTTTTTGTCAAACGTGGTGTCTTTTTATATTTCATTTAGAAGAAAACTATTGTACAACTAAACTATAAAATAATTTTTAAAAAATTCACACAATTTCTACACATAATTCTTGGCTAGCAATTTTATGTGATTAAAAAAGTTTATGGTTACAATGGATCATTTATATAAAACTAGTGTTGCTTGAAAGATGAAGCTATGGCTATGGTCAACATATAGTGATATTATACTAATCTATGAATTTCATTATGTGGGTGCTTTGGGGATTGAGATTTGAGAAGCAATTGCATTAATATCTAAGACCAAGTTTGACTAAATAATAAAACACCCATAAAATGCCTTAATTTCATAACCCTAAAAAAAAAGTCACTTTAATTCCAGTCTGTAGTCTATACTTCCTCTAGAAAGCCAAAAATGCATTAGCAGTCCCCACTTTTAGACTTTAGTTTAGGCAATTTCTGGGCCTCTCAATATAACAAAATGCCAAACTAACATAAAAACAAGACCAACAACAAGCATTAATATTGGGAATAATTCTGTATTTAACAATATTACAACATTGCATCTTCAATTCAAGAAAATTACACCACAACATGAATTATATATTTCTTTTGAAAATTTATAAAAAAAAAGAAAAAAAGACATCAACTAAACTAATTTCAACATCTTGCTCTTCATTCTTCAATCTTCCACTAAAAATCTACCCACACAATTTTTTTTTTCTTCTCAATTCTCCAAAAAAGAAAAAGATGGAAAAAAAAAAAAGGGAACAAAAACGCACTAATGGGAGTTCTCAGAAAGTCCATTTCCAGATCTTGATCCTCAGATCCACCTTACATTTGGCACCGGAAGTGTTTGCCAACGCCGGCGACTTACCTGTCGGTGGATCAGCTTTAATTCCTTCGCATGTTACCCTAATACCCACTTTCTTGCTTTTCAATCCGTCCAGCTTCACTTTCACTCTGGTGTCCAGTTCAAGCTTCAACGGAACCCCACCCTTTTTCTTCAGATCCGATCTCAACCCGTTAACGGAGTCCGCATCAAGATCTTGGGAAGTTGAGATGATGACTGCCCGGAAAGTTGTTAAGTTTTTACCGTCGCTGACGAAGGCCGGAATGGTGCCGTTCCCCAGAAATACGCCACTGTTGCTTGAAGTGCAAGAGACGGCGAACGGGTCGTAGAAGAACGAGATGTGAGAGTTGGGGTTTTTAGAGGAGAGAGTGAAATTGAAGAGAGTTGAGATGTGGGAGGAGGAGGAATCCGCGGAGGTTGTGAGGTTGAGGCGGTGGACGCGGAGGGACGGGATGGAGAAAGAAGGACGATGCGGCCGGTACATCACGTAGAGGACGATGCCGGCGATGGAGGCGAGGAGGGCAATGATGAGGAGAATCAGAATGGACCAGAAGCAGCAGCGGCAGCATATGTTGCGACGTGGACGGTGGTATTGGCGGCGGTTGTAGGGTGGGGGGCGGTAGGGAGGACGGGAGGTGGGGTTGTAGAGATCAGCCTTGGTGGGTCCACCGTTGGTGGTGGCAGTGGTGCCTCCGGTACCGTTGGTGGCGGCAGCGGCGGTAGTGTTGGCGGGTTTGGTGGAGGGGAAGACCTTGTCCGACATTGTAACTGGAAAACAGGAACAATGGGTTCAGATTTGGTGGAGAGCGGGGAGTGAAAGGGTGAGATTTGAAGGGAGGAAATGGAGAGTGGATTTCAGCAGAAGAATTGAACCAACCAAAAGGGATGGTGCTATACTACCACACGAGATTTGGAATCTCTAATTTTTATCTCTGTAATAAAATGGGATAAATCCCAATTTAGACCCTAAACTTATTTTTTTTCTTCATTTAACCCTCCAAAGTTTTACCCTATGCATCCTCGCAATTTTATTCCAATGATATAAGAGAGTGTTGATTTATTACTGCCATACTAATTTAGCTTCACTCCTTATTGTACATGAAAGTTGATGCGACAAAATTAGAATAAGAAAAATACTCATAATTTATAGTTTAGATTAATGTCTATCTATCTTATTTTTAAAAAATTAAGAGAAAAATTATTTCAAAATTATATTATTTCAATAAAGTACCATAAAAAATGATCCAAAACACTTTAATTTATAATTTAAAAATATAATATTTTAGTTTTTTAAATAAAAGTTTATTAAAGCATTCTAGTATTGAAATTATTTTTTTCTTAATCTATGAGAGGTAAAACAGATAAATACTATTTTTTTTACAGTAACTTATTTTGTCATGGTCCTCATCTTCACATAAGATTGTGGTTTTAGCCATCACATTCCACATTTGATGAGTAAGTTGACCTGGGAAGGTCATAGTGACACAATCAAGGGACTCTTCTTAGTAACTTTGAATCTTAATTGGGCTGCATGAGGATTTAATTAGAGTAGAAAGAATTTTAGGGGTGAAATTGAGAGAAAGAGTTAAGTTGAGGAGCTGGATTAGGTAGTACTGCAGAAATAAAAATGTTTGCATTTGGTGCTTCCCTAACTTGAATGCCACGTCTCCATGTTTGATCTTCAAAGGGACAATCTCGAACGTACAGTAATGGTAGTCAGAAAACGTGGGGCCTCCATCTTTTTCACTGATTAAAGATCGACGGTCCGTATTTTTTCAGTTATTATTATTATTATTATTTTGATGTTACCACTTTTTCTCATTATTGGTAACGTTTTAACAAGAAAATAAATGAATTTTGGTAGTATCATAGGAATAATTTTTTTTAAAAAAATTTAATATAATTTTTAAATATCATTAAATGAATAAATATATTTAATATTATAAATATAATGTGAATTAAAAAAAATCAATACTGACATATCAAATCACATAAAAATAAAAAGATAAAAAGATTATATCCCAATGAATTTACTAATACTCCCGACCAGAAAGATACCGTTTGTCAGGAAATTTATCAAATCAAATTTAACAAATACAGTAGGAGTATTAAATTAAATTCATCACAATAAAATTCGAAATATCTTAAAACAGAAATTTTGTTTTTTTTC